GGCTGCCCCCGCGCGGCCCTGGTCGGTCCCGCCTACCCACACCCACCCCTAGGCCGAGCGGCCCTGATTCACCCGCTGGAGATGCGCGACCCCCGACCCGGGCCCGCGCCCGCGCTGCTGAGCTGCAGTTCCGGGCGGTGCTCTGAACTGCGCTCTGGCGCGGGGTTCAAGGTGTGTTTGAGAGTCCTTGGGAAGGGGCGGCTGGGGGAGGGGGTCCTGAGGTTGCTCTGGAATCCTCCGCGGCCTCGGATTCTGAGCCCCCGAGGGCCCGCCCGGAGGAGGCATTGGAGGCTGGGGCTCTTGACAGTCAAAAAAAAGTCGGGGAGCGCTAGGGGACGCGACCTGCCTCCCAGCCGGTGCGAGGAGAATGGGGGTACCACCACCTCAAGTCTTTCACTGGCCTGGGACTCCCAGATTTCATGATGCGCCCCTCCACCCCCTCCCCATTGCCTCCTGTACAACCCTGAGGTATCGTCATCACCATTTCCTCGGGAAGAAGGGAGAGCAGAGATGCCGGACGGTCCTCAGAGGCCCCAGGGCTAGTTAGCGGGCAAAGCCCAGAAGCCACGTCTCCATCTGACACTTTCTGACAAAGTGCAAAACACGTAGTGAGAGATGAGGACGCGGACATCAGTGAGTTTCCGCCCAGTCCTGGACACATTGAGAATCTGGCGTGGACTGCACTCACTCCGGGCGGGGGCGAAGTGGGCTAGCTGAGTTTTAGGGTCCCCTCATCGTCCGGGGCACAGAGCAGACGCTGCAGAATACAAGTGAAATAAGGAAGTAGGGATCACAGGGGAAAATAATTCACTGCCGGGTGGTCTTTGGGAAGGCTTCTCAGAGAGACACAGATAAATCTTCCAATAAATCCTTAAGAAGCAGGGAAGGCAGGGTACCTGCTGTGGGAATAGCCCAGGAAGAGCCAGAGCAAAGGGCCAGAGGGTGAAAATACTGGACGTGTGGAGGGAGAAGGCTGTCTGGCATTGGGGGAGGTGGGGTGGGGCTGGGGAAGGAAGGGGGAAAGGGTGCTGGGAAGGATCTGGTGGGAGTTGAGGTTGGCCAGGCTGGGTGAGTCTCCACTCAGGTGCGGTTTGCTGTCTGTCGGCACCTCCTCTGAAGGCCCAGATAGGGTCAGGCTTCCCAGAGAAGCTGCCTGGGGGGTCAGACAAACAGTGAGGTCACAGCCCCTGCGTCCACCCCCTCAGCACTCCTCCAGGGCCCAGAAGTGAAATCAGGTGATGTGTCACCGGTCCTCCAGCCCTCCAGGCTAAACCATGCATGTAAGAGCCGCTCAACATACTTCTGTCGAAGTGAAGAAAACCCTAGCTGACTTTTCGCTGCAGAAAACCCAGGGTCATCACTGCAATGGCTTTCCCCTCACTCGGAAGACTAGTCACAGGGCTACCTAGACAAGTCCTGGCCCAGCCTGGAAGGTGACCCTAGAAAGAAGCGAATGCACAAAGGATCTACAGAAGCAGCAGGGGGTCTGAGGCCTGAGCTGTGTGGCAGTCACACAATAGGGGCACTGGAGCAGCAGGCCAGCCTCGCTCATTTGCATGTGGGGTTTAATGAGAACTGGGGCTAAGCCGCTGCCTAGTTCCACAGGAAGCGGGTGGGGCAGATCCAGTGGTCACATCACCTGTGGGAGGCCAGGGAAGACCCTGCTCCCTAGGATCAGGCTCCCCAGGCATCTCCAGTCAACTAGGAGCATGGAAGGGAACTGCCTGCTGGTGCCCCGTTTGCACACGTGCTCTCAGGTCAGCAGGGGAAAGACGGGGAATAGGCCTCTTTTGCCAGAAGTTCTGTTTGAAGGACTTCACTCCACCTCCTGTTTCTGCTCTGTAAAAGGATGCCAGGTGCCCTCTAGGGTCCCTTCTGTTGGACTGTTCTATGTTGGACTTCAGTTCCTCGGGAATCTTCCTCCCACGCCCAGGCATTTCCCTCTTTTAAGGCTGGCTGAGCCCACACTTGGGGTAAGTGGGACAGTGTCACGTGACCCTGGGACTCCAGAGGCCACTGGGAGCTCTTTGCTCCCTGTGCCTTTGTTGTGGAGGTTTTGGGGAGGGAAGCAGTGGGTGACAGAAGGGAGAAAGGGTACAGCCTAGTGACCCTGGTCTGGAGTTGACAACCTGAATTCTAATACTATTAACCTGAAGTCTGTCATATGTTAGGAGAGTGACGTGGGCAAATTCTTAACCTCAGTTTCCCCAACTGTAAAATAGGGGCATGGGCAGGCCTTAATTTGCAGCGTTGTTGGGAAAGGTAGGACAAAATCAAGCATGTAAAATCCAGCGCCTGGGAACCACCCAGTCTCCTGTAGGCCCTCTACCATCGGCACTACTGGTGCCTACTGGGGGTCAGAGGGACTCCTGAAATACCTACCCAGGACACATGTGGGGGATTGCTTGGCATTGCTGCCAACCCAGCCACGCCTAGGGTCCCACAAAGACAGACTGTCCTGATCCACAGGCGGGTGGCGACCTCTTGCAGAGCCTCTGCTGAGCAAACAAGAGGCAAAGAGCCGGATCCCAGCTTCTCCAGTTTCTCCAGCTTCTCCATGTCTGTTACCCTTGAGCCCCTAGGCCAGCTCAGAAGCCTCTTGCCCTGTCTGCAGCTGCAGCAGTGGCTGGGAAGGTGAGTGAGGGGACCTCACTGATCCCCCTGCCCCATTTCCTGTGTCTGCTCTAAGCAGAAAAGAAGGCAGGGATGGTGACTGGAACGTGTTACTGTGCTGATACACGATCTCAAATGCTCAATGACCCTGTGAGGAGGGCTCTGTAATCCCATTTCACAGATGAGGAGACTGATGCCTGCAGAGATCACCAGCCAGCAAGTGGCACAAATGCCACCCATTCCCAGCTGACTGCACTCAGTGCACTGACTGTCTCTAAGGAAATGACATTTATAAGTTAAGTTTCTAAAGAAACTTGCTGATCATCAATCCTCCTCCTCTTGCTATGTATCTGACAACCCCTGGCTTCTTATTTTTAAGTCTCTGCCACGGAGCATAAGCTGCCTGAGGGCAGGGGTTCTTACATGTTTGTTTGCCAGTTCCCCAATGCTCAGAACAGTGCTGATAATGGTGACACATGGTACATGCTAATTACATCTTTTTTTCCCCAAAGAATTATTTATTTTATTTATTCATTCTTATATTTTAATTTGACCAGAGAGAGACACATGCACACACAAAGAGAGAGAGAGAGAGAGAAAGAGAGTGAGAAAGCAAGCAACCAGGTCCGGGACTTGAACCTTGGTTGGCCATGTGGGAGTGTCCAGTGCTTTAACCACCACACCACCTGCTGGTCCCTGCTAATTAAATCTTTATTGACAGAAGGGAAGGAAATGAGGGGAAGGAAGAAATATAGGGTTACTCTGTGAACCATGCCCTTGTGAGATGGGACAGGACTAGAGCCCAGAGAAAGGGGGCAACTCTCTAGAGTCAGGGTAGGCCAGTGTAGTGGTACTGTCCCCTGATGGTGCTTCCCCCAGAGGAGCTGACTCCCTCCCCCAATCCTGGGAGGATGAAGGGGTGAAAAAGTCCATTGTGGTCCCATCAGAAGTCAAAGAAGAAATGACCCAGATTCTGCTGGACAACTGCAGGAATTACAACAAATGTTATCATGGATCATGAAATGACCCAGCTGTTACATCTGGGAATAATAGGACTGCAGAGGCTGCAGACTAATTAGAAGTGTGTCGAATGCTTTTATTATCAGCAAGGAATTCATACAAAGGAGAAATGCATAAATAGAGCCAACTGGTCAGCAGAATTGGTCCCAGAGGCAGAGTCCTTTCCAAGGCCTCACTGAACTCCCCATCTCCTTCACCCCTTCTCCTTCACCGCCTTTGTACAGTAGAGCGGTGAAGATCCTTGGGGTAGACCAGATGGCCCACTAAGATGCCAGTCTGGTGCCCACCCCATGTCTGTCTCTTCTCCTTGAATGGGAGTTCCTCTCAGCAGGGCCTGGCAGCCTTCTTTTGTGTGTCATGAGTTCCTAGCTCATACTGGGCATCTTGGCAGCACTCGCTAAATATCTGTGCAGAGTAAAAGAAGAGTCTCTAGGCTGCTGACACTCCCCATTCTGTCCATTGAAAATGCCCAAGACCCACTCACACTGTAAAGCTAGTGCCCATTATGGTGTGTGAGGGGTATTTCTTTTCTCTCTCTTTTTTTTTTTTTTTTTTTTTTGAGAGGTTTTGCTATAGGGCGCGTGCGCTCGCCAGAAAGACAGAGAGAGACAGAGAGGCAGAAAGCAAGAAATCGCCCCCCAGGGGGGATGGCCACACCACAATCCTTTCTCCTCCATTCTCTTGGGATCCTAGGAACACACGCACACGTGCCCGGCATGAGTTTAAGCCACCAGGTCCGGGACTTGATTCGCAGTCGACTAATGGAAGTCCAGCAACATAGCCATTACGCTAACTGCTGGCCCTGTGAAGGGGTATTTCTAGCCCCTTCCTTGCTTTCCTTCAACACCTACATGCCAGAAACTTCTAGGTATTGGGGATACAACAATGAACAAAATCTGGTTCCAGCCTCTGAGAAGCCCAGTAACTGACAATAAGGAAATATATAGAAGGCATCACAAGAAGACATATTAGAGCTCTATGGGA